GAAGAGCGAGGAAGTCACGAGGTTGAGATAAAAATGCGAAACACACTTAGGTGCCACGACGTTGTGTAACGGTTAACAAGACCATTACTACTGGAGTGAGTTTGATCCTCACTAGGTGTCCTCATAATAAAAAACGTTGAGGATTGTATTGATACGCTAATGAATTTATCTCTTTAAATGTCATGTCATTATTGGAAGCAGGCGAACACGCCTCTCCACAGATTGCTTTTTATAAGAAATACTCGCATACACATTGGTGGGCGAGGGAGTGAAATGATATATAGTTTCAACCGATTTCCCAAAATCTGACCAAACATCAAATTTATTTGTAATTTTTGGGGACTCTATCGTTGGACGGTAAAATGAAAAGAGAAAAAAAAAAAAAAAAAAAAAAAAAAAATAGAAAAGAAAAAAAAGAAAAAAGGAAATTGATCAGTTTAAAATGAATCGATTCATTTCTCAAGTGACTCTGAGTATCCCGTGTTTCGCCGGATATTTCTCGAAGTTACTTCACCAGGAAATAAAGAACATTATTTCTTTTAATTTATTTTTCTTTGATCAAATTAGTTGTTCTTATTACTTGTCAACACTTGTTGGGTCATTTAACCCTAGAACACTAACCATCAATTAAAGTTACACCACTACTAACCATGGGTATATTATAATAAAATACCAAATTTTGAAAATATAAAAAAAAAAAAAAAAAAAAAAAAAATTAAATATAAATCTTTATTTGAAATATTTTACATGCAGGCACTTTAAACTTTGAGTTAACATTAGGAACTGAAAAAACAGTATTTAGGTAAGAAAATCAGGTACTGAAAATTGTAATTAAAATAGTAAAATTTGCGCTAGGTACTATATACCCATGGTTAGTGTTTTAGGGTTAAGGTCGATTTTTGTACAGGGTACTCAGTGAGTATTGAACTCATTACTCAGTAGTAATGGTTCATCAGACTTTGCTAGCCATGAATTCAAGCCGAGGTGGGTTTTTTTTTTTTGAAGAACCCATTACATGAAATAACTTTCCACTGCTTTTGGAATATATATATATATATAAACTTCAATCATTATTATAGCGGACACTTCGTATTTCAATTAGACGCCACATTTTTATTTATTTATTAAACAATGGGTATTACTGTCTATCGATCCCTGCTGGAAAACGCATTTTCTTTACTAAGATTTCTCGAATGAGCAGGCCGATAGGCGTAATACACTGTTTAATAAATAAATAAAAATGAGTCGTCTATTTCAAATACGAAGTGACCACTATAATAACGTACGAAGCAACAAAATGTAGGATTAAAAATAAATGCATTATATAACTAAAATGAACATTATTCTATCAAGATGGTATCCTTTGGTACGTTTCAGCTATAGGAGCAGTTTCCCTGATGGAAAAAGTGGATATATTTTCGATTCTTGTAAGGAGGCATACTTTTTCTTCAGTAGGTTGGTAGTTGTTAATTTTACTGTTTAAGAAAACAAAAACCTGATACCAACTCAAACGAGTGTACCAATAAAAATAACTTTAATAATAATAATAAATATTGGTGATATCTCCTGACGAATGGACAGAGTGATTACTGGAGAGTCCGTCTCCGAAGCTCTAGAGTCGGAATGCTGAAGGTAACACCATTCAGTTAAGTGACAAAATTTATATTTGTATTAATATATATATTTTCAATTGAGCATTGTTGAATGACAAGCTAATTCTAAAAACAACGGTGCGTAAATGCGAAGCTCTTCAGTAAAATGAATGGAGCACTTTGGCTGCTTGACGTTTGTTTACATTTGTAGAAACAATACGGTAGATTTGGCTGACTCGTTCTGTCGAGTGAAGATGGCTCAAATGGCTCTGACTGACATCAAATTGGTTGGGTTTCGGTCTGGGCTTGAGGGATTCAGTTGTCTAGTCGTACTGAGGAGCTGTGATACAGCGAAACAGTACTGTCTGCGAAGGACACACACAATATATAATATATATATATATATATATATATATATATATATATAGAGAGAGAGAGGGGGGTACTGTAAAAGTTGTTTCCCAATCTTCTCTCCAAAATGGTCGAAAATATTTTTGGGAAGGAAGGCTTCTTGTTCTGGCCGAAAAATGTTATTATGTATGTATAGCAAGAAATGGATTTTAAAATTTATTATTCGGACAGATTTTTAATACTTAAACCAAAACGTTATTTTTAGTAGATACTCATATTTGAGTAGACGTTCCGTTTATTTAATAAACAATATATATATATATATATATATATATATATATGCTGTTAATAAATAAACGAAGCGTCTATTCAAATACGACTACTAAAAGTAAAGTTTAAGTAATCAAAATATGTGTGTGTGTGCGCGCGCGCGCTGAGTAAACTAATAAAAATGTTAATAAACCTATAGCTCTAACAACTTTGTGATTGTAGTGGCAACTTTGATGCATCTTCAAGCAGAGCAGGTTTATCTTGAATGTTTTCTTTTCGTCACTTATGGCCCTCACCTTCATCCAGGATCGATACTTTCAGTTACATGATTTATGGAATCTGATCAAGACTGACTGCTGTTTTAATGGACTTATAATGTACTCTTGGGAACGGCTGCTACGTCTATTAATGTTTTGGTAATGTTTTAAAGAGCGACAAGGATTTCCTCTGACACTCCTTGACCATGATGAAGCTAAAATAGAAGTGATGATGTAATAAAAAAGCACTTGTTTAATGCGTATTTGCAGGGAAAACATACATACATATTTTTCAGAGATCTATTTGTCACAACACTGGGGCATTTCTAGCGTGGGATAACTAAAATCTATTGAGAGTTCTATCGATAGTACATTTGGATATGCTATGGAATTCATCTCTTTAAGTGCCATGTTCTTTTAGGAAGTAGGCGACCATAGATCTCCAAAGCTTCTTTTCTCTAATATCTAAAGTTTACTTAATTATGATTGGGAAAGATCGTGGGATGGTTTCCTGTGGCCTTCTCCACAGTTTTGAATTCAGAGTTGTCAGTCCTTTTGACTGCTTGCTAACCAAGTTTTATTATTCTTTTAAATTGAAGCTATAACTATGGGTTGAAGAATAAGCGAATTGTTGCCTTTGCCAAGTGTATTAGTGTGAAGTAGTGAGACTATTCTGGCTTCTTGCATTCCAGTAAACTACGAGCTTTAAACATTTAAAAGATACCACGTCAATCGATATCTGATATTTTTTATCGTATTTTTTATTTTCCTTTCTCCTCACTAACGTTTTCCCATTTTTTTCATTTGTAGTACCTCCTTGCGTCTTAGTGGCTTTATCACCTTTCTTCAGATGAAATGATTCCAAAAATGTATGAACTGTTATTTGAACACTGCTTGCTGATTTCATTTTCCGCGTTGTTAAACACACTTGATAATTTTCACATCAAGCAAGGCAATAAAGCCACTAAGACAAGGAGTTACCGAGTGTGAAATAACAAGAAAAATATTAAGGAGCGGGAACAATAAAAGAAGAGGAATAAAATGACGGTAGTTAAGGGCCGACATTCCATTTAAATATCTGAAGATAGAAGCCGGAAAAACAGTCCTACAGACGAGAAAAGAAAGTATTAGCATAGAATTTACGGTTACATCTAACCAATTCAACTATAAAATGATGAGATCTTGTTACCAATCTAGTACTTCATAAAGTCAAGGTACAATAGAACAAAGTTTATCAGAAGAATTACCATGAAAATATTTATAGAAAAGACACAAGAAGCTACAGGGGTGGGAAAGGTGATTAAGCCAGGATGCCAGGTCAGGACCAATAACGTTGCAGATTCTTTGGATTTTATCAAGTATCTCTAAATATATAAGAGGTTCACCCGGCCATATGCAGCAGCAATATTCGAAGCATGGACGAATGTTAGATTTATGAATATGTAATATAGATTCTGTACAGAAAAAAATGTATAGCACGACACAGTGAACCAACTTGCCTAGAAGCAGACCAAGCAATTGAGCAGAAAACGTTAACCCAAGAAAGCGCAACGAGTCGCTCTCCTGGAGGTTAGCATCAGCCATGCTGATGGAAGGCAGAAAGAGGTCTCTCAGATGATTAATAGAAACCAGTTTTGCGTTTGGTGTTAAAATTATCAAGCCATTCTTTGCCATAGTTAACAGCAGATTTTAGGTCACTTTTGAGATCAGACGCCAATTTGACCTTATCGAACCGATTAGACTTACTATGAAGACACGAGTAAATAGATGGGTCATCAGCATAGATACTGAGTTGAGAGCTGGAGCCATCAGGAAGGTCATTGATGAAAATTAGGAGAAGCATAAGTCCTAGGATAGAAACTTGGTGGCCACCCGCATTAATGCATAATAATCTAGAAGAATGGCCGTTCAGGACAACTTTCATCTCACGATTTGATAAGATTAAATCAGTTCGAAAATTCATTCAGAAATACCTTTCAACTTTTGAAAAAGAACGCTATGTCTGATCCTGTCAAATGCCTTCGAGATATCCAAAGCAACAGTCTGATCTTCATCATTCTTATCTAAAGCTTGACAAATTCTTTCAGCAATAATCGTTAATATATCAGTTGATATAGTGAATCGAAATCCATATTGCTTATCTGACAGAAGACCCTGCGATATGGGGTGATTAACCAGATGCTTATCAAAATTGTAATTATCATATAGCGATCAAAATAACTATTTCACCTTAAGATAAAAATATAAAGTTAATGTACATGATAAACTTGTACACAGAAAAGAGAAAAATAGAAATTTTCAACTAAGGATTATCTCCGAACTCTCGAAGGAATTTAATGATTTGGTAGGGATAATTGGGACCACAGATTTAAACTTGGAATATTTATCGCCTTTACCAAACTACAATTCTACAAATCGCATTTTGTGTCAGATAAACTTGGAAGGAGGTAATGGCATCCTGAAAAAGGGTGCATCGGAAAATAAAGAAATAAATTTGAGAACCCCTGCTCGAAACCATCTTGTCAGGCTTATAGCCATATCACGTTGAAATACCGGTTCTCCTACGATCACCAAAGTTAAGCAGCGTCGAACCTGGTCAGTACCTAAATGGGTGACCGTTTGGGAATACCAGGTGCTGTATGCTTGGATGTGCAGATAACGTAATGGATAACGGTTCGGAATTGGAATTCTAATTTGAATCGGAATCGTTATATTCACTTATGCGCAAATACCCTTGCGAAAGGGTATGAATCCAACTATTCTCCTCCCACTAAGGGTTAATTAGTAGGACTTATAACATATATATCCTAAAAATTCTTACAATCTAAAAATATTTTCTGGCTTTAAAATAACCCACAAAAGGTTGATAAGCCGTAAAAAAAATCAATAAAAAAAACAAAACCATCTTGTCCAAATCCCGACGAGAGTGAGGAGGAGGAAGAAAAATAAAACTGCTATAAAATCCAAGAAAACCAAAAAGATAAAAAATAGACTCATCTGAACATTGCTAATTATAGTGATTTTCCAAGCGTAGCTTAGATGCGGCACAAGGCCGAAAGTAGGGGCAGCCAGTGAGGATCGAACTCACCACTCGTAATTGTTCTAGCGAGACAAGCTTGCTAACCATTACACCGCTTCGAGGTGCCCCAATGCTAATTATATATATTATATTAGAATTATATATTATAATATAATTTATTATATAATTATGAAACCAGGACGCGTTATAGTTGCTATTTGTTATTTTCTAAGCTGTGCTTAGTTACGGTACAGGGTTGCAAGTAAAAGGCAATCAGTGAAGATTGAACACACTATCCGATAGTAATGGCCAACCTAACTAGCTTGCTAAACATTACTCCAAACCGAGGCTCCATAAGACACATCAACGTTGCTGGAGTGCAAATAGAAATAGACTGACCATATGGTCGACATACTGTTGACATTTTGTAAAACTAATGGAAGCAAGGAGCGGTTTTTCAAGTTCACTTCGAACGAAGAGTCATTTATTTCAAGTATCAGTTTTCCACTAATACCACATCTGCTTTGAACCACTTTAGTTTTATATTTATACAAATTACCAGTCAATTGGCGAACAATATTATTATTTTTAATCATTTCACCCCAATCAAGGCGATAAAGCCACCAAGACGCAAGGAGTTACTACGGGTAAAAGAAACCGAGGAAACATCATTGGTAGAGAGGACAATAAAAGAACAGGATTCAATGAGACAGAAGATGACGATTGACATTGCCATCAAAGTTTTGAAGACCAAAGTTGACAGGAAAGCAAGAAGCCGAAAGAGAGTTCCATAAGCAAGAAATGCTGCAGAAGAAACTATTAGCAAAGAACATACATGAACATCTAGCAATTTCAACAGTAAAATGATGACACCTGTCAATCTGCGCTTAAATTCGTGAAATCAAGATACCAAATAGGAAAGCTCATCAGAATTACCATGAAAATATTTGTAGAAAAGACACAGGTAGGCTAAGCTACGGCGGTAGGAAAGTAACTGAAGCCGAGCTGTTATGTCAGGACCGATTACATTGCAAATTCTTCCTTGGATTTTGTCAAGAATCCCTCAATACATAGCAGAAACACTAGACCAGATTTGGCAGCAATAATCAATGCAGAGACGGGTGGTAGATTTATGAGGGTGGTAGATAGTTTCTAGTGAGAAAAATTACTTAGCACGACACAGTGAAGTAACTTTCCTAGCAGCAGATATAGCAATTGATTCAATATAATCGTTCCACTTATTTCCATCTTTTGACTCCGTATCCAATAAAATGTGATAGAGTTCGCTCATCTTTTATTTGAATTTAGCATCACATTTGATTATCATGGATCAAAGACAGGAAAGCGTTGAGACAACAAATTATAAACATTCTCTAGTGTTTATGTTAAAGAAAAAGAAACAGTTACTGTTAGGTTTTAGTGATACAGTTATACGAAGGGGTGCTAAAATTTTCGACACCACTCTTTTCCAGAAGCGGACTAAGTATTATTATTTGAAGGGCTTTTAGTCGAGCGGAAAACCTTTCAGCAGCCCTTGTGTAAATATATAATTTTGGGGGTCCGTTCGAATTTTTCTCAACAGTGTAAGACGTAGAATCCTTGTTTGCTCATTTTTGTAAGAATAGCCAACAGACAATCAGTATTTATGCCAATATTGGTTGTGGGGGAGTCATTTTATTAAGAAAGGAGCACAAACATAGACAAAAGATAGTCGATCATGATAAAGTTTTTAAATTAAAATTTACGAAAAGGACATTTAATATCAAAACATAAAATTTAATCGAAATAAGTTTGGGTTTCTATTTTTTTTTTTCTTCACTGATTTCGGTGCCACGAGTTTTTGAGAATTTTCTCTTTGCATGCGAGATATCTTATTGTTTTACTGATGAGCATCATCATTCCAGCATCAACATTTAAAACTTGACTCGTTCTTCTTCAAACTTATAACGTCCATGCTTCGTAATACGTAAATTGTTTGAAAAGCTGTGTTATAAATCACACACTTAAAGCGTTGGTAGGAACAGAAAGCATACATGGTCCTTGTGGCCAGAGTCGGTCTGATAGCAATTCTGTATAGTTAGAGTAATTGTCTGAGATGTCTGAACGCATGCTCAGCTACCTTTTCTCTTCCTTATGTGAAGGAGTTCCGGAAATATTGAATTACTTCAAGATAAAAAAAAAAATGTTCAGTACACGATTTAGGTTACAAAGCAATAAAAAATAAAACTCATTTTTACAACTTGTTTTTCGTTGTATTAATAATTATTTTATGACTTTATTTCTCATGGGAAAAATAATTCTTTTGAAATTTAGTCTGGATATTTTTAATAAAAAAAAAGTTTAAGCCTACCTCTGGGATAAAAAGGTACATACTGACTTGGGCGTATGCTGAAGGCCGTTGGTAATTACTTTCGCAGACCGTTACGAATATAGTTAGTTCAAGCCTCACTACGAGTTCCCCCTACTACTGTACTGGGCTAGACGAAGATTACTTACTATCTTCACACACACACACACACACATATATATATATATATATATATATATATATATATATATATATATATATATATATATATATATGATAAATGGGAGTAACAGTTTGGAAATTTAGCTGATTGATGTTACCTTCAGTATCTCGACTCCAGAATTTCGTAGGTGGACCTATCTATCCACTCTTCAGGGTATCAGCAATTTACTGCTTATATTTTTTTTCGATTTTTTCCCTTAGCGATGTTGTATATAGCGATTTAATAAGCGTAGCTCAGATGAGGCATAAGGCCGAAAGTATAGTACGCCAAGTGATGATCAAACTTACTTCTCAGTTGTAATTGATTTAGGCAGAAGAACTTGATAACCATTACACCATTACGAAGTGTTCAGTCTGTTTCATGCTTGAACGCAATCTTCAAGCATGAAACCGACTGTCACCGTTCGATGTTGATCTTAGTGTCCACTTTTATATTTACAATAGCTCTATCCCAGATATTGAGTACTTTTACCCATAAATATAGAATAACTTGAAACTATATATATATATATATATGTGTGTGAGTGTGTGTGATTAAATAATTTAGGTAAGTTTTGGCGACTTATTTTTAATAGGATCCTCTCGTAATTACGGACAAGTTTCTTAGTTTCCTTATTAAAGGAAGAAAGAAAATTACCATGTTGATGCATATTCATTTTATTCTGAGTACTTTCGACATTAGCACAATGTCGTCATCAGGGTCTTGTTTTTTCAAGACAAAAAAAAAATTACCTTATAACAGATTTTTAAAGAAGTATTCGTATTTCGCTGTTTGTTGTGTCTATAAATCATTTAATCTAATCATTGTGATACCATAAATTTTGAACATTGGATATATTTACAGTATAATTATTTGAAACGGTGGTAAGCATGACGTATTAATCAGAATTTAGAAAAGTAAATTGCAACAATCGAAATGGATATTTAAATCTCTTAATTATATATATAACAATCTTCTTGTTCTGGTAGACTGGGGTTATGTGGTTTTTAATGTTTCTATGGGAAAATTCGTCCTGCTTCTGTGTACTTGATTTTTATAGAAAATGTTGATATTGTTTTTTCTGTATGTTCCGTTTTTTTTTTGTCGCTTACTTTAGAAACCCGCAGTAAGACTGAAGATATAGAAAATACAATACCAACATTTTCTATATAAAAAAAAATCACACACACACACACACTCACGTCACGAGATGACTTCTTATCATGTCATGTCCATTCAGGATGTAGGCATTTATGGCTTTTCACAGCTTCTCATTTCTTTTAATATTTTAATGTCAATATCTATGAATATTCTTGAAAAAGCTAGCGAGTGATTTTTCATTGTATTTTTCCTGTTTTGAATTCAGAATTTTCCTTCTCTTAAATTAGTTGTCAATCAAGGTTTGAGAGTTTCGTCCGTTCTGTTATTTAACCTCTCGATGGAGAAAAATAGATTGATCCATGCCTTTCCCAAGGGAATATTTGAACTTAGCTCGTCATTTCCATTTTCGATGTCGAAAATCCTTCGTCCATTGCACCTTCCAGGAAAGAAGTACTTAAAATGGGAATTTTTTTTTTTTTTTTGCTGAAGTAGTTTCATTAAATATCCGGAGATTTACGACGGTAAAAAAGGAGTAAAGTAAATAATAAGAGTACATATATTTCTTTTAAAGTGAGAATCTATTTCCTCTTAAAAAAACAAAATAGGAATTTTACACTTAACGCCCACTATCAGTAACAAAAAATAATTTCAAGCGACTTGACTTCTTTCTGAAAATTTCGCCAGTGCATTAGGTTCATGGAATACAATGCAAAACTTGAAGTCAAGAACCCAGTAAAATCAAACATTTATACGGAGACGAAGGTCAACAATTAGAATGCTTTGCTATTTTTAGATTAATGTATTTGCTTATCACATTATTAACCAGTTTGATTTTTAGAAAAATAACGTAGGAATTTGCTCCATTTTTGCGCATAATATTTATAAATTAACGTAGACTTCATGTCAACGAAGGTATGACAACAGTTTATGAATTTTACCAGAGTTTCCAAATTCCACATTATTAACCACATTACCGAAACATTAAGTTGTAACTAGGAATTATGATTACTTT